AGTTGACTACTACTTTGATGAAATAGTCAAGAAGTGTTACTGTCAACGACAGGTACGACTTGACTCCTAATTTGAGACTTATTCACCACACGGTCAGAGGTCTCGTATTTTCTCACCCTTAACTCCGGTCTTCTTTCTTTTCACTTTGAATTATCCTTTCCGACATAAGTCTTTTGCTCCCTGATGTGTTTTTCATCAAAAATTCCTGCTCGCCAACCAACAGCTAACATATTTATGCACTTCTGTCAGGATCTGATATCGATGGGCTCACATGCCGTTCAAGAGTACCAACCGCCCGATCCCCCGGAAGAGGCCGTCTCCGATCGTGTCTGCTTCCTCTTCAACAACCTTACCAAAGTTAACGTGAAGGAGAAGTCGGCTGATGTTTGCGACATCCTCGAGGAGGGCCTACTGCCCTGGTTTGCTTACTACCTTGTCTGCAAGAGGGTCACTGTGGAGCACACCTTCCACGATCTCTTCGCCATGGTTCTAGACTTTCTGCAGGAGCGACTTCCCAACATACGACCCTCGGTGCTGGCAGAGGTCTTCCGTAACATCAAGGTAAGCTGTCTGCCAATAGCTGTGTCTCCTTGTCTCCTCACCTGCCCCATATTTCTCTCTCCACTCTACCCAGAGTTTTTATCCAAATTCTCTCCCCCTTTGTTTCCCAGCTGATTCTACGGAGCATGCGTGCTGACAAGGACGATTCCACCGCCCGCGTCTCGCTCAAGAACCTAGGCAGTTTCCTCGGCCTGGTCACCCTGGCACGCAACAAACCCATTCTGCACGATGACCTCAACATCAAGGATCTCCTGTATGAGGCCTACAGCAAGGGTGCCGTGCCCCTTAACTACGTGGTACCCTTTGTCTCGCGGGTTATGCGCGCGGCTACAGAGAGCATCGTTTTCCGGCCGCCCAATCCCTGGACGGTGGCCATCCTCAAGGTGCTGCGCGAAATGCACCTGATGGGTGATGTCAAGAGCACTGTGCGATTTGAGGTGATTCCCGACATCCCTACTCACCGCAGTTTCTACTGCTCTTGTCGCACCATTGTTTTTCTTCCAACTCTGTCGTAGTTTGTTCGCTGCACCCTCTCTTTCGGAGGCTCAGTCTGAGCCCACATGCTGGACGGTCATCGAATGGAGGCTTTTTACTGGTCGCTGTTTCACTCAAAGGATAAACGCGGCGGTGAAAACCCGCAAAGACAAATGCCTAGCGTTTTTCACTCCTCCAAACAAACTCTGCTAGTGTAGGCAACAACGCGCACTGTCTGAAACATTTTTTGCAGACTCGGTTTGTCGGTCACCTCTTCTTACTGTGGTTTTTGTCACTTGACGAATTTCACACTCATTTGTCAGTTGTCTCTTCACCGCCCTTTGTCTTCGAGGCCTGTCATCAAGACCAAACTTGATGCAGTATTTTCACCAACCCCCCTCCCCCCAATTTACCTGATGACTAATCGTTCTTCTCTTCAATTACGTCTCTGGGAGGGCTGGAATACGATCTTATGCCCCCCAGCTCGCCTTCGAGGGGCTTTTCGGCAAGCCAGTGTCATTAGTTAACCGTCTACTTCCCTCCTTTGTCACTGTACGTCCGTGTACTTCTGCAGTCTACGG